ATTATATAGTTTACAAATATTGTCTGCACTGTCATTTATGACTCAGAAGTGTTTACTCATGGAATTATGAAGGGTGGAGGCATAGGGGGAAAGGAAAATGAAAATGTATCATGCTAATCTCTTCCATATCTGCTAGACAAGATTTCCCTATCAGCCTGCAAAGGAAGCAAGGCATCCAGCAGAGGGCGGCTTTCAAGAATGGAGGAATTAGCCTTGGAAGGCTGAGTGTGTGAACTTTCTTAGAACAGTACCCAAAGAAAAGTGTAAAAGAAAATAACCCTCCTGTCCACTAATGGCCTTTTCTGAGGGATGATATCCTCCTCCAGTTCCCTCCCCATATCAATGATAACTGTGCTGTTTTAAAATTGTTGTTGTTAAGTACCTTCAAGTCAGTTCCGACTTACAGCAATCCTGTCTAGGGCTTTGGACACTTTAAAAAAAATCTTTGAGGGAACAGAAAACTTCATCCTTCTCCTGCAGAGTGGCTGGCAGGCTCGAACCTTAGATCTTGTGGTTCACAGTCCAGTGCTTAGTGTATACAGCCACTGTGCTCCCGCTTTAAAAAATAGGTTGCTATAAAATTAAATGGCTTGGCATTAATTTGTCAACTCACTTGATCAATAGAATACGTTCCCAGGAGCTGAATTACTATTGTTTTCATTTTTATAAACTATAGGTAGTCTTGTGCTATGCCCATTGAAGCTTATTTAAGAATAAATGATAGAAATAGATATAACAGAAGCATGCCTAATCCCATTACTGGAATGGTAACTAATGGGTAATTTAACTTTAAATTCTCTTTCGTCTTTACAAAGAAGTCACCTTATTCTTATAGAGCTCTCTGGGAAACTTAAGAAATGAGGCTAAGTGAAATACGGAAATATGTCAAGTCAATCACAAAAGGGTAAATATTGAATGAGACGACTATTATAAAAAGTCAAGAAAATGTTTACACACAGAAAGAAACATTCTTTGACAGTTACCAAAGATGAGAGGGGGAGGGAAGAAAAATCACTAAGTAGAGAGGAGACACGTATTAACATGGGTGAAAGGAAAGACAACATACAATAAGGGTGAACAAAACATGACCAAGGCAAAGGAAGGTGCTGGCAGGTACACAAGAGTAAAGGACAGCAATGTAAATACTATTCCTTTATACAATTAATTCTGCATTCACTAAAAACACAACACAAAACCCAAATCCACTGCTATCAGTTGCCTCTGACTCACAGTAACCCTCTATATGGTTTCCGAGACTAAATCTTCATGGGAGTAGACAGCCTCATGTTTCTCCTGTGCAGCAGTTGCTGGGTTTGAACTGCCAATCTTGTGGTTAGCAGTCCAGTGCTTATCCTACAGCAGTACCAGGATTCCTCTGCATCAAAAGCAGTAACAAACAATAATCTACATGTGCATAGCTAGACATGGAAACTGAACAGGTACGATACGGTGAAGGGTATTTCTATATATGTATTTACATATTTCAAATACATCCATGTATATAGTAGAGCATAGAGGGGGCAGAGTTATGAAAACTTCTTAGCCATAACCACACACCTTATAGGACTGAGTCATTAGATCTGAGGCTTAGATCACAAAGATTGGAGAAAGAGGAGGCTTTCTGCTCCTGTAAACATTTGCAGCCTCAGAAACCCTATACACGGTCGCAATGAGTTGGAACTGACTAGATGACACTTAGCAACAAGTTCACAAATACAATATTCTACATCTACAATGGTGAGAAGCAACTTGGGTCTTAAAAGTTTTTAAGCAGTAATCTAAGATGCAACTATTGGCCTCTCCAGGCCTGGAGCAAAGAAGAATGAAGAAAATCAAAGATTTGAGGAAATAGTCCAAAAGACTAATGGGCGATGAGAACCACAGCCTCTACTATGCTGAAACCAGATGGTCTAGATGGTGCCTTGCTCCCGCTATAGACTGCTCTGGTCTGGATCACAATAGACTGGGGGGAAATGTAGAACAATATTCAAAATCAAAAGAAAGACCAAACTGATAGACTGTTAAAATCCCTGAAACTATGGCACTTATACACCCTTCAAACCTGCAACTGAACCCACCTTTGAGATCAACTTTTAGCCAAACAATAAAACCCAATGTCATTTTGTCAATTCCAACTCATAGAGACTCTGTTGGCAAGCAAAGGATGGACCTATAAAGTGTACAATAACACCCAGAAGAAACACACTTCTCAGAACAATCATATGAGGCCCAAAGGGCAGTATTTGTGCAAAAACAAACTCAGAAGGCAAAAAGGGGCAAGAAAGGACTGATGGAGACTAGGAACGCAAAGAAGAAGTAGGAATAGTACTATTACACTGATGGGATTTCAACTAATGTCACAAAACAAAAAGTGTGTAAACTGTTGAATGGGAAACTAATTTGCTCTGTAAACTTTCACCCAAACCCCAATAAAGTGTTAAAAAGAAATTCATATTTCCAAATCTTATCCTCATTATATCTAAATCTGGATGAAGAAAATTCAGGTCTATAACATTTCACTTGTTAAGAAAGGTCTTGCTGGACAAAGATTTCTCATATACATAAATACTTTTTAAAGTTTCCAACTAGGTATTTTCATGCATCACTTGATTTAAATGGCAAAGGCGAATGGAAAATCCAGGTAAGCAAATATTGTTTCACTATGCTTAGTAACACAGGAACTGTGTTCCTTTTCCAACTCTCTGTATCTGTTTCATGAGAGGTTAACATATTCCATGTTCCATCTGTCAATATAAGCCACTGTCCTACCGTCCCACTGCTTACAAATATTTCTACTTGATGAGAAGAATGCTGCCACTCTATGAAGCCACTAGCAGCCTTGTGGTGGAGGCACTTGGCCAACTATCAGATGTGAAAACAACAATAACCCATTTAGACTAGGCACTGAAATTGCTCTCCTAGTACTGCACCTTAATAGCTCTACAAGCAAGCGTTTGGGAGAATGAATTAAATCCCATTGCAAACAAATGATGGAAGGGAAAACTTAATCCTTAGGACACACACTGTCTATTGTTCAATTTATGAATTCCCGTGACACTAGACAGAAAAAAATAGTGTGAACATTTATAAAGTTAAAAGTTTTAGGCGCCATCCCTGTGGCCAGGGATATTGAACAGTAAAACCGGGCTAATTCCTAAAGCAAATATCTAAAATGAACAAAGCTCTGGGAATATCCTGCTTGCTATCATTTTCCTGTGTCAGAGAACCTGTTAAAGTGAAACAGACCCAGTCACATAATGGTTTAAGAATTACAGTCTTGTATTGGGAAATGCATAGCACTTCCAAGTCCATCAACCCTAAACATAATCATCTTGTGGTCAAAGGAAGTTTAATCTCTTCTCTATCAGATTTTACACAAAATGAACAATCCCAATGAGTTTGGAACAAATCAGGCAGCAGGATAAGAATAGAGAACCTAAAACTTTCAATGGTGAGACCATGAGAAAGAAATTCCCAGAAATCATTGGGAATTATGCATGAATAATGCCTGTTGGATTAACTCCTAAAGGATCAAGCAGAAAAAATGTGCAAGAGAACCTGAGAGCACGAAACAGCATAGACCCGGGTCAGTAATGTTCTCAGACACACTAATGGGCATTTTGGCACTTACTCTACAGACTGAAAACTGTACCTGCATTCATCACTTACCTGCATAAACTGTCAGTATTACCAAAATGACATCCAAGTTAGTTACCTTGGAAAATTGCTTTCCTCCAAGTTTAGGCACAGGAAAGCAAGGTAAGTTATCTCCTGACTTATTTAACTTGAAAGAATAACAACTGCAACCATTTATTCAAATGCAGATGGTGTTCATATCTTCACAAACGATTTCACAAGTAAATGTGGTGACCTTTGTGGCTCCCCCCGCCCCCGCCCCCACCAAGTTCCTTGTCCCTAGTTCCAATCCGCTCCTTTTTAACCGCTGTGACAAGTCCTGTTTTAAATGTTCTCCTGCACAAGTGTTGCACTGAAACACCATCAAGAAATAGCATGACATTTGGCATGACTTTTGGACACAAATGACTTCAGCTTTAAATTCAACTCCTTCCAACGTGGCTACTCACGGGGACTTTAAGGAATGCAAAGGGACACCTCAAGTTCCACAGAGTTTTAGGAGCCCACAGGAGCAGTCCCACCCCAACACTGATCATATACTACAGCAGGAGATTGTCACCAGGCTCCGGCAGTTTCTGAAACCTCATGGGTGTCACCAAAAAGCCAATAACACAGTCAGGAATTTTATCAGCTGATTTCTCCTGAGATGCTGGAAAGAAAACCTAATCTGTATTCTGGAGGAGGGGAAGAGATGGTGTTACCTCATTAGAAACATTCATCTCCCTCCTTTCACTTCAAGAGCTTTAATGTGAGACTTAACAACCGCTGATGAAGCTGGAGAAGAAATACTTGTTTTCAACAACTGTTGATAGCTCAGAGACAGTAGTTTCTAGATATAGCGTCCCTTGAGAAGCACACGCCATCAATTAAAACTCCAGAGAAAAGAGCCTATTCCCCAGTCTGCACTTTTCTTGTTTGCTGAAATGTGTTCACTATAACGTGCTCAGAACCTGGTAGAATCACATATATGAAAAACACAACAGAAATAAATGGTGGAGATGGTGTGTGTGGATCTGCAAGATTGCCATCGTCTCAATCTAAGAGGAGTTGCCCAGTGTCAGATCTCTGCTCTCATAACTCACTCAGCATCCAAGACAACCGTTTCTAAACTTGCTTTTCTCACCCGCTTTATGGGTGACACTGATTGAACCCAAATGCCTTGCAGCCCTTGGGTCTCTCCGGAGCGTCTTAAGAACCCCTGCCCCAGCCTCCAAGGCCCGAAGGCGGCCTGGGCAAGATCTCCGGTGCCCCCAGGACCCCGCGCTCACCCAGCACCCCGCGCGCAATCGGCCTTTGTCCGGTTCTTCCCGGCGCCTCACTTCTCGGCGTTCCGGCGGGCACCCCCAATCCGCGCCCACACTCACCCCGGACAAGCAGCCCGCCCGGCCGCGGCTCGCTGCGCCGCTCAGACAGGTGTGGGCGCTGGGAGGGCGCGCGCGGGTCCCATGCTTGCCCAGCGGCGCAACGGAGTGCGAGCTAGCGGGCAGGCAGGCTGGCTAGCTGCGCCGGCTGCGGGCGGATCCGCCCCCCGCGCCTCCAGAAGTCCTGCCCCGCCTCCGGCCTTGGGGAAGCCGCGCGGCCGCCGCCCACCCCGCCGCTCGCGGCCCGCGCCCCCCTCCCTCCGCTGCCCGCCGCTAGTCCAAGCCAAGACGCGCAGCCGAGGGACGGTGTCCGTGTGGCCCCATGCAGGTGGGCCCCCCGGCAGCACGCCTGTTTGGGCCTCTCCGCGCTCGCAGCGCCAGCCCTCTTGGAGGACTCGCCGAGCCCAGGATCTCGCGTCTTTACCCTCCAACACCACGCTCCCGCTGGGCTTGGCAGCAGCAGCCTTCAAAACCAAGGGCCTTTGCTGTCCGGAGTCGGCTGCCTGCCCGCAAAAACAAGGGTCTTCAGTCTCGAGCCGGGGCGGCAGGCCATATCTGGTGCAGGGGGAACCCTTGGGCCCCCATCCCACGTACATTTTTGAGCATGTGTAGGTGGTGGCCAGACTCTTTCCCATCTCACCAAGACTCAGGTGACAAAGTAACCAGTGCGGGCCGAACCCGAGCACTACAGATTCTGCTTGACAAATTCTGAATGACGGACTGGATGGGGAGCGCATCGTTTCAGTACTATATATGGGCACTAGCTGGTGGAACCACCTCCTTGCCTAGGAGATATACTTCCTTGAGTCACTTCCAGGGGCCCGCAGTCTTCTCTCAGCCTGAATGGTGACCATTCTACTTAAGAAAACTCTTAAGAACCAAATGGTAAAAGTGCTATCCTCTTGCATTTGTATTTAATATATATTCTCTGCCGATACACCTAATGTTCAGTAACCACCCTTCTGTCCATGGGGGCTTGTGTTTGAAGCTGAACAGGTTTCCGAGGAGCTTCCAGGCTGACTGACTAGGAAGAAAGATTTAGGGACCTTCTTATACAAAGTAATTAACCAATGAAACCGTTATGGAAAACAGTGGTCAGATCCATAAAGGAGAATGAAAACAGCACAGGACTGGGAAGCATTTTGTTTTGCAGTGCATTGGGAGGCTATGTGTGGGGATGGGAGGGGGTAAGATGGGGGAAGGCAAGACCTCTGGACAGCTAAGGAAAACAACAGAACTAGCTTTACATATAGGCTGCTGTCCTGAGCAAGGTGCAGGATTACTACCACTTTACAGATAAGGAATCTGCAGTTTAGAAGTTTACTGACTTGCCCAAGGTCACAGAATTATTGAGTGGTAGGGCAAGAGTTTCCAAAGAAGACACACTCATTCTCTCAAACCATTTATCCTTTCTTTTTGCATGCTGTTGTGTGCTGTTTCTCAAATGTAAGGAAGAACTATATTCTCCACTATTTTCAAGACAAGTTTTCCTTTGATTTCCCCAGTATTGTTTTAAAGTACCACAGCACCACCAGGGAAACTACCAGCTGTTTTGCGGGAGAAAGAGGAGGCTTTCTGCTCCCGTAAAGATTAACAGCCTCGGAAACCCTATACAGGTCGCTATGAGTTGAAACCGGCTCCACGGCAAACCACCACCACAGAACGGGGAGTCCTGGTGTGGCACTGTGGGTTAATGCACTGGATTGCAAGGTCAGTATGAACAGCAATGTTCACCATCTACCCACTCCTTGGAAACC